GGCTTCGGCCAACAGACCATTGGCTAGGGCCATCGAGTGAGGCCTCGAGCCGGCAGCAAGTGGCACGTTCGAGGCAGCCAACGCATGGGCTACAGCAGTCGCTGTCGGGTGGTTGCCATGGCGACGATCAGGCCGGCCTCGGAGTCTGTGCACACCAGTCGCCGGGCCGCGCAGCTTCAGGCTCGGCTCAGACATGGTTTTTCGCAGGTGGACTGGTCCGAATCCGCCCGAGCGCGGCGGCACGATTGAGAGAGGCGGTTGCGCAGGAGCCGGTGCATAATGGGCCAAACTGGTGTGTTGAGGACGATAGACGCCGGAATATTGGAGCTGTTGAAGAGCCGGAAAGTGTGCCAAGAGACCCGACTGATCCATCGACAGTGCGGGCGCCAGCCTTGCCAACTTGGCGTCATGGTTGGCGACCCGGCAAGAGGGGAAATTTTCATCGGACCCAATCGAGCCGGGCCTCGCGAACGAGTCGGCCAGGCCGGGACACGAGGCGGGCGAAAGTTGGGCCGGGTCCATCGCCTCGTGTCGGGCGTGGTTGCTGGACCGTGTCGGTCCACCGGAACGCTTGGCAACAGCAGCTGGCGCTGCCTCGAGGAGGCTGGGGGAGGCCGAGTGAAGGCGTGGGCCGAACGAGGCCGGCGGAGGGAGGTGGACGGCGGCGGCAGCAGCAGCTGAATGAGTCAGCAGAAACTGGGCGTCAACCGCAGAACTGGGCGTCGCCTTTCCTTGCCCCGTCGAGAGGGGCGCCGAGGAGAGGCGCTTCTTCAGATCGCTCGTGAAGGCCGCGTCCGCTCCCCGCCTCCTGGCCGCATCACGAGTGTGCAAGTCGCCCGACATGGCTGTCCGACACAATTGGCCACCGGCTCCAAATGCTAGCTGGCATAGTTGCGGTGGCAACGGCAGCGGAGAAGACGATTGGTGCCCCCAAGCTCCGGTGCCCAAGAGACAGGACTGCCTGGGCAGTGCCTGGACGCCGGTGCAAGAGGGTGAAGACGACAAGCCGATGCTGGCAGCCGCGGACGTCATGTCTATCTCCATGGAGGCAAAGTCGATGGACAACGAAGTGCTTAACATCATTTCACCGGACTCTCGACTTCGCAGTTTGTTGAGCACACAGTTCTTCAGCTTCTCCTTCACCAACTGAGATGGCGTCGACGGTGACTTGGCAGTCGAGGCCGCCTGCGATGTCGGCCCAGCCTCCGGAGGCGTGGCAGCGCCAC